AACAAATTAGGCCCAGGCATTTAGCTAATCCTTTAAGCTTTAGAAAGGAGATATGAAGACGTTTGATCTGATTTGAAGATCATTTTCTTTTCCGTTACTCCTTCAACAGCCTTCTGCAAAGTCGTGAGAAAAGGCGACATGTTCTGATGACCCCAAAGCGCTCAGCTCAACCGGACCAGTTAAGTATGAAGCTGGTCAACATGATGAACGAGGTACCTATAGCTATAGTTAGGATGTTGAACCGGAAACCTTTTCAACGAATAAACTTACATGCGACCCCTCCACGAGGGGCGGACAGTGTAAAGCTCTCACTTCCGACCAACGAACGACCTTAGACTGAGTGTCCATTAGTGTGATAAGCGGAAAGCAGGAAATTTAGCAGGTGATCTCTCTGACAATTTTTGATTCTAGGCATAGATGTCCCTGACTTAACTTAACTACCTATCCAAGGGCTAGATGGTATGAAAAGCAGTATTGTTTCAAGTAGTGTTGCGTCAATGATCCTTGACTGTTAGTACAGACCGGAAGCAGAAAGTATAAGGCGGTCATCCAACTTACAAGAAACTGAACAAGATAATGATGTCCCTGCCACCCAGCCACGGGGCCCCAGATCTGTCGCTCTTTTGTAGTTGTAGTTCAATATCGATACTCAGTGGAAGTTCGGAGCGGAAGAAACAAGTTGGTTATCCAGCGTACAATATGTTGAACGAGACAATATCATTGTCCCTGGCCCAACCCGACCACCCAACCAAGGGCCAGGCCCGATACCTAGTTGTCAGTTGCTGTAGGTTAGTACTCCGAGCCCTTCCCAACCTACCCATCCATGGGCTGGATAATAGCAAAAGCAGTGTTTTGTTGAAAATGAACCTTCGATATCGTTGGTCAGTACAAGTTGGAAGGAGGAAAGAACAACCTGGAGCTCAATTTACTTACAGGATCCTGAATGAGACACATTGTCCCAGGCCCATCCCAACCACCCAACCAAGGCCAAACCAATATGCTAGATTAGTGCTGTAGGTTAGTTCTCCAGACCCGTCCCAACCAACCCTACCATGGCCTGGAGGCCGTTTGTGAGGAAATTATTATCCCAGGCCCGCCCAACCACCCAACAACCCAGCCACGGGGACCCGGATATGTCGATGGTTTGTAGCTGTAGTTTGTAGTTCTAGTTTGTAGTTGTAAAATTAAAGGCTGTGAAAGTTAGCCCCAGGCCCGTCCCTACCACCCGACCGGGGCCTGGCGTGCCCTTATAGAGCCAGTATAGAAGAAAGAAGAAGAAGAAGAAGAAGAAGAAGAAGAAGAAGAAGAAGAAGAAGAAGAAGAAGAAGTAAGAGTGAGGAAAGGGGTCTACAGACAGCTTCAGTCAGTGTAAACAAGCAACGCGTCGATTTCCAGGAAGATGGGTGTTACTTACAGCTCTACGCCCAGGGGAATTCCATTCCCAGAACGCCCGGTTAAGAAATGGAATCCATGGATCTCGAGACCTCTGTGCGGGCAGATGACAGGGAGGTGCAGAAGAGGCATTACAACGTCGTCGAGAACGACCCCGACGGATGTGTCGAGTGTCGCACTTTCGCGCTTGAGGAAGTGGACGGATGCGTCATGATTTACACGTTCGGTCGAGTTGTAACTGACTAAGTTGATGCTGTTGAGGCAGGGAGGTACCGAGGAAATGGAAAAGGGCAGAGATGGGGATGAGAAGGAGAAGGAGAGGAAGGAGGAAGAAGGAAAAAAGCTGGGAGAAGGGGGGAAACAGGCAGCCACCATTCGTTTGATCATTCACTGACTGACTATGACTATACAGTGACTATATCATAAAGAAAGTTCTGGTGCGAATTGCGTTGCTGGACGCCTGAAAGAAAGAACAGTAAATATCCTGCACTTCTTGAGTCAACAGCGCTACGCACGTACGGCAAATTCCGGTAACAGCAGAGAAGCAGAGAAAACAAGAGTAACACAAGATAAGAACCTTGAATATCCTAACATTATACATAGTCATACAGTTGCATCGGTGGATTGAGTCACAATTATAGAGATTTCTTCGGTTCCCTATGAGTACATTGGCAATTTCGTCATTTACCTACATCAACCAAATGACCAATGCAAGGCACCATTACCAACTTGCAAGAAGGAATGGACTGAGAGAATTAGAAATGGTAACTACCGTTAGTATACTATCAATACCTCTACCTAGTAAGACAGACAATGTGAAGGCGGAATCCACTCTGGAAGCAATGCTGCATATCAACTACGGATCCCATAATAATACTACTATAAATGACTGGTAAATGTACCTAAAATTAGAAATTAACATTCGGTAAAGAAAACTTTCTGGTAAATAATCGCAAAAAGTTGTATGACATGCTTGTGATATCTTGAATAGCTAGTCGTTGTTATAATATCCTCGTGCTTGATGTCTCTCGAGGTCCTACTTTCTCCTCCTCTGGAAACACTTCTACCTCCCGGTCGCTCCGTTATCAAACATCAATTTTCCTACTTTCTTCTTAGGATATGTATATCCTCCTAGCCAGCCGGATATTTTTTCCTTAAAAGTATTTCGACCTTTTCACGTCACAAACCCAAATATAATATCACACAACTCAATTCTCTGAAAAATTGCCAGATTCAGCTGACACCTAATAAAAGGGGGACAGACGCTCACAATGTGCCTTCGAGATGACGCGGGACATGGTGTTGAAACTACTAAAGTCTAACGGGAAGTTTCTTGCTCGAAAAAGGGAAGGATATACATGGTGGAGATGGCAGATCTCGTGTCTTAAGTGTATTATGTAGTCTCAAGCGCAGCGCAGACGGGCAGCACTCAGCTAGCTGACGGACAGTGGAGCGTCGGGCGAACCATCAGCCCATGATCGTCGACATCATTCAGCTCGACAGGGGCGGGGAAGACCAACTATAAAGCGAATCATCAAGATTTCCCACAACTCACGTAGGCGAACCCCAAACCTTATAAGGAGCTGACTTCTCACATCCCAACCCCCTCTGTATAACTTTCGAAACTATCGCATCCATAAACGGCGACCATGTCCTGTCCCGAACATAGGCAATCGTCGGAGCGAGTCATAGTTATATGTTTCGATGGCACGTCTAACACCTTCCAGGCCGATGGTACCGAGAGCAATATCCTAAAGATCTATCGGATGCTCAATCGGGAGGATGACAATTTATGAAAGTTTCTCTATTCCTTGAATGTGTGTGCTGGCGCCCTAACGTCACCTGCAGATTGCTACTATCAAAGTATTAGAATCCATTCACTTCCTGCTGCAAACATCATGCTAACCAAGGAATAGCCGGTATTGGAACCGAGATCGCTCCGACCTCCCTCAGCAGTAACCCTTTCCGACGCGGGAGTAACCTATTTAGCAGCAAACTCCTCGACTCAGCATTGGCCGTTTCCTTCGACCAGCATGTACTTGGGGGGTATCGATTCCTCATGAGGCATTACGCTCTGGATCCCAGATCTACACCTTCGGTTTCTCCCGAGGAGCATACACAGCACGCTTCTTGAATGAGATGCTTGATGCTGCCGGTTTGTTGTCAGCCGACAACGAAGAAATGATTCCGTTCATCTGGGAGGCATTCTCGGCTTACAAATTGACAGCCAAAGAGACAAATTCACGAGAATGTGAGGAAAAGAAAAAAGCATCGAAATTCCTGGTGACGTGCCGCGAAACTGTCTCGCGCGCAGTGGATCCGGTTCGCTTCCTTGGTTTGTTCGATACTGTCAATAGCACTGCCGAGTTTCAGGTCAACTCAGAGGTTAAACCGACATCTAAGATTATCAGACATGCTTTGAGTATCGACGAACGCCGGGTCAAGTTCTACCCGGTTCTTATTGAGCCCTCGAAAGAGGACCAGCTCCGGCAACGTTGGCGTCAGCGAAAACACAAGATACAGAGTTGAAATCTTGTTCAGCCCATGATTCGGGAGTTGGTAGTAATGAAAGCCAGGGAGGGAGTCAGACTTGCAATTCACCCGAACAGGATATCCAAGAAGTGTGGTTCCCAGGTGGCCATGCAGACGTCGGCGGAGGATGGGATTTTGCTGAAAGTGAAGCATGGAGGCTGTCTCATGGGCCGCTCGTCTGGATGGTGCATGAGGCTCGGCATGCTGGGCTCCATTTTGATCAAGAAAAGCTTGAACGCCTTATGAGCAGCGAGAGGCAAGACAGTGATGAATGGATTGGCGGAGAGACTGAAAATCCACCTCCAGACGGGCACACCCATCTTCTTCAATCGCTACACCTCTCGTGCACGAAGGGGATCTTACATGATAATCTCAATCTAGGGGAGGGCATATCCATTGGAGCTGCTCGCTCATGGCACCTGATGGAGTATATCCCGTTCCGACGCATGGTAGTGCAGCTCGACAGCTCGTGGAAGCCCACCCGGTGGCCGCTGCATTGGGGAAAGAGCTGAGACATCCCGAAATATGCCCAGGTCCATGTCTCTGCGATCGAGCGGGTGAAAGCAGATACTGCCTACAGGCCAGCGAATCCCATTTTGGGTGTGTTGGATAAGAAGGGGAAACTCCCTGCCGAGCATGGAATCGGGCAATGGAAAGCCTGCATACATGAAGGCGACCGAATCCGGGAGGCGTACGTTCGAGCATAGCCATCAAATTATGGATATATAATTTGCCTTTGAAAGATGGAGCTATATTTCAGTTGAAACACTCCAGAATGAGTGCAATACAAAGGCTTGCAGACTCTCATGTATCACACTAATCAGAAAGCATAATCAACTATTTTTATTAGGTGACGATACAACCAACCCCTTGTCAGGATCACGCTTTGTTGATTTTGAATATTGAGTCGCGTGGTCGTTGAAACTATCGGCAGGTGAACGACTCCTTATAGCGTGCATATCTCGTTGACCATCGATTGATCTAGAACACAGCGTTCAAGGTTAAAACAGGGAAAGCACATCCCTGTTTCGTTTTAGTTTATATCAAGCAAGATGAGCAAAATCAAGGCAAAAAATTGACAAGGACGGGATTCGAACCCGCGAATCAAAGAAACTAGTGTTTTGGTAGAACCTAACTAGTTGGTTGTTAGTTGAGATGCTTAGAATTGGTGGTTGAGAATCAGGGAGACTGACAACTAGCGCCATAACCACTCGGCCACCTTGCCAGAGGTGCGTCATAAAATCGTTGCTTCCTCACTGATGAAAACTCGTTTAATCAAAGCTTTTGAGTGGATTAGTAGCCAGTTCATGTTTCGATCTCGCAGAAGCGGGCTAAAGTGCTTGATGAAATTGGTATTCTAAAGAAATACAGGAGACTGGAGTTTTATATCCCACAGGTCCGCTGGGTAATTAAGTTTGTGTGTTTAGTGTCCCGCTGTAGTTCCTTTTGCAAAGTAAGTGTCTGTCATAGCCAGCGTCTCTATATGGACGTTAAACTTGTTGATTAATAATAGTAATGAGGAAGGTTGCTTTGCAGCCTCATCTCCTTAGCTGAGCCTACGTCTAACAAAAGCATGAATAAGGCACCTGCTCGTCACGTAAGTCTAGTGGTCTTAGCCTGTTTGACCAACTTACTACATACACCCATCTATATGAGAGCTCCTAGAAATGGATCATTGAGCTTTGATATAAAAATGGTTGTCCATGTCAATCTACCTTAGAAATGGAAGCTGGAAACCCTTTAGACTAATAGCGTAAAGTCCGTTCAATGGACCCTCTGTTCCATATCTTCGCTCCATACAATGACAGGAAGCTTATGCTTTGCAAATCTTTTGACACATAGATCCCAGCAGTGCATCTATTATGAGTCACAATGGTAGTTGAAGGATGGGGCGGCCGCTTTCGGCATTGGCTCGGCATTGCTGAAAACCTTATTTTGGAGCAATCCACGCACCCCATTTGCTACAACCAAAAACGTCAGGGCATATGAACATGGTTGCTCCTCAACTAAGCAATATTTAAACATTATAAAAATTCCAACATATTACCAGCAAAATAAACAACCACTTTATTTCTAAAGGGATAACGACGAACCAAATCACATGACCCAAATTATCTCTTCAAACCCACCCACTCCAATCTAATCTGATCCGTCCTCTCCATACCCAACACCCAAACTAAGCAAAAATGACTGAAACGCCTTTGATCTTCGTGACAGGTAACAGAAACAAAGTCCTGGAAGCAAAGGCTATACTGGGCTCTACCGCAACACTTGAAGTACTAGATATCAATATACCCGAGATTCAGGGTACCGTGGAAGAAATCACGCGCGAGAAATGCCGGGCAGCGGCTGAGACTGTAAGATATATATTATACCACGATTTTCATCAGCTGCCCACTTGCCCAGCTTGAGAGAGTTTTAGGTTTTTTTGAGATTGACTCGCCTACTGATGATGTAGATTGGAGGACCGGTGCTGGTTGAGGATTCTGCACTTGAGATGCGTGCGTTGGGGGGATTGCCGGGGGCTTATGTGTATGTTTATTTTATTGCTTTGTTTTTCGTGTGCGCGCGCGCTCTCTCTCTCTCTCTTACTATGGATTCTAAGAATGCTAAGGGCTAATTTAACCATTTGTATAAAACTAAAGCAAAGCATTCGTCGAAACAGTAGGCAACGAAGGCCTCAATAAGATCATCGCGGCTTTCGATGACAAAACTGCCGAAGCAGTATGCACATTTGGGTATTCCTCCGGACCAGGACGAGAACCTGTTCTGTTTCAGGGTCGGTTGGAGGTAGGTTTGCCTATAAATGGTGCATTTCGATAAGATGATTGGTTAGATTGCAACCTAACCATGATTGCGCAAGGGCCAAATCGTTCCAGCTAGGGGCATGTCGTCGTTCGGTAGAGATCCAATCATAATTTCGTAAGACGGGTGCCAGGGCAGCGCTGATGTTCACAGGTTGGGAGCCAATATTCGAGTTTGAAGGGGAGACGCTGGCTGAGATGGATGTAGGGAAGAAGGTATGTTTCCTGGTTTTCTGCGGTACTTGGGCCTTTCCTGTGGGATTGGGCACTAATCTGGGTAGAATGGACTTTCTCATCGGTATAAAGCGCTGGTGAAGTTTAAGGAATGGTTCCAAAGGACTGGGGGGGTTGCTTAGGGGTGTTTTTGATCGAATGGTATAGATCGTTTGTTTTGTAGACGGGAAATTAAATGATTGGTTATAGATTAGGCAGAGCATCTAATGTCATCTCGTTCTTTGGTCGATTGTATTTTTGGAGATTAGTCTCTCTAAATTGCGTGACTCCAATATTGAGTCTGTAAAGAGCTTATTCGGCCGACATACATATGTTTGTATATTACCCACAAATAAAATTAATCTCACATACTAGAAACCGTTTGGGACGACAGCATTAACTCAGGTAATATAGAGGGTGTCAAAGGCCAGCGAGAATGACATTGAAACTATATTGAATGGTGCAATTTCAGTTACTGCGCTATAAGTCTAACAGTTGCCGCAATCTTCTATTAATGAGTACAATCGGATGTGTAGCACAACTCCGGAACGGTATTTACTAAACCTAATTGATCTAGCTACTGGCCAAAGAAGCTGCTGTTCTGCTCCGATCGTGGAGTGGTGGATCTAGCATGACTCAATCGAGTTAATAAAGCCGACTGCAACAGGTCAGATTTAACATCGGCACAGATGTCCAAGTAGGTTTGCCAGAGTTATTTCTCTTTCAGAGGATACCTTACTGACCTGCCGGGTAATCATCGGAGTGTATAGTCTGTATGCTATGTATGATGATTCAGTAGTTCTATACAGGTTTTGGATTCTAGACCGTTCCGAGTGTATCAAAGTGAACAATTCGGTCAACCAAACCTCGTAGCCATAGACATCTAGGAATATTCACCCCCTAGGGCAATCAACTTGAGTAACTCAGATAAGCTTAGTCGCAGCGCCCCCAAGAACATAAGCTGTCAATGACCACTCATACTGGGCACGAGACGTGCATATGAATCCCGGCCTTCCTAGGCATCAGACCGACCATCCTGACCCCTACTCACTTTGACGTCTGGATAGGTTACCGAGCTCGTCATTCGGCGCCAAGTCTCCCCATCCAGTCAATATCTCCAGCCAAGAAAGCCAATACCGCCCAGGAGAGCTAACCGTATCACAAGCCCGCCATCATGCCGCTCAATCCTCCTGGGGGAAAGCGAGCCTTCGTTCAACCGAACGGCACGAAAGTATAAAAAGGCGATCAACCCCCCAGTGCAGGATTGAAAGTCCCAGCCGTTGACAGCTGATCGCGTCAGGCCTTATCGGAACGAGACGGCAATACCACGGCTCAAGGAGATAACCGCTATCGTCGGAACAAGCATGGATATAGGTATGCATGGAAACGGGTACGCCCCCAGCTGGAGAAGAGAATGGACAATGCAGGGAGGTTCCTGAATGGTTGTTGCTCAGGTAAGGCCACTAAACTCCAAGGTGTTAGTCGGTGACGAATCGTTGGGAATTGGAGAAGTGCGAGAGCGAAGTCGGAAGGCGCGGCCTGGGCGATAAGGCGTCAATGCTCAAGTACTTAATCTCATCGGCCGCTGTCCTCCGATTGTGGCCTTGCGGCTGACTGACATCTTGTTTATCTTCCCCCTCTTTTCCTTTTCATTTCCTAATGGAGGGAAATATTAATATAAAAGCATTAATATAGTGTGTTTATAACTTTATCGTTGTTCTGACTTGTTTCCATGACAGACATATTTCTCTCACCAACAAGCAATCAGGTCCCGTCCATTGTCTCTTGACCCTCAGATGATACCAAATCACCAAGCTAAATGACCTGAGCGCCGACCTGGCGGGTTGAGCCGGTCGGACGCCCGAAGGACCTCCGCCTCTCGTTGTTCATCCATGATCATGACCGCCACCGTGGGTAACCATGACTAGTCGACGGGTATCTCATCCAACAAGGACAGGGAGAGAGAAAGACAATACTGGGTCATCTTCGAGTTAGAAACAACATAATCGCAACCATGCACGGATGATTGGTCAACTCCTATGCGACTTGCATGTCTGATGGGTCGATCGATCAAGGATTGGGTTTCCTCTCTCCGCCTTTCTGGGGTAACATTGGATGAATACGGAGTGCAACTTGGACAATAAACTTCCTGGACTGGGGAAAATTATCTACCGCCGAGTATACCAGAGTATGGGGGGGGGGGCGGGCGGGCATGTGTCGCATGGACGAAGGTTTATCACTTCCCCATCTGAGTATATTGAGGGCATACAACTGGATCCACTACCGGACATCACGCGGGGAGAGCCGCCAACAATGGGATGATTATGAGGCCGCTGATAAGCCCGAACATCTGGTCTGTCGTGCTACGAATGAAATTTGGCGTGCTTATCTACCAATCTAAACGGCAAATTGACTACTCTTAAACCCCAAGGATGTGTTTATGTTACCTAACAAATTTCCGAATGCGGGTATACCGGTGGTGTCGACTGTTTAATTGATGCCCTCATGTTGTACTAGGGCGCGCCGCAACCGAGGAACTGAAAAAAAAAGACGATTTGCTGACCGAGGAATGTGGACATTACTCGCCTCTTCTGCTGATAAGAAATCCTTGCATGCTTTTAGGGTCAGATCACCAAAGGGGGCAAATTCACGTACGAAAAAGAGAGGGAAAATAAAAAATTTCGATTCGAGAATACCAGCCGACCTGAATGCAAGGGAATTTTTTTTTCTCTCTATTGATTACCCTCTGAAAAGGAAAGAAAAAAATGTTCCATTCACCGGTCGGCAAACTCCGACTGGTTAGAAATGCTGTGCCGGGGTTCCAAAACGACTCCACGGAGCCAATCACAGACGAATCCGGCACCCTCGGCGGATGCTTAACCGTTCTTGTCATATCTTGTCATATCTTTGCATCTCTCATTTGGGGTTACATCCGAAGGGCACGCTAACCCTCCCACTGTGGCCATTCCATTGGATTCTCGCCGTAATTTTGCCGGCGATGGAGTCTTCCATGCTTTGGTCGATCACATAGGTCGCTTCCAGTGATAAGACGGTCCCGCATCAGATTCCGCACCAGGTCTTCCCACTAGGAACGGGAATATAAGGTGGCTCTCGTTTCCTTTCGGAGCTCTTGGTCTCGTGCGTAACTGTCAAGAGGAATTTCTGCCACAAAACTGTTCCCTCTTGCTTCAGGGGATATTCTCGCCAG